TTCGAAAAATCCATGTTACACAATCATCCTGACAAAGTTAACAACTCGATGGAATACCGAAGGTAACCACTGATTGCACTCGCTGCCATTGACCATTTTAAGTGTGACTATTTTTAAAATACTGTATGCCTCATTACGCTGGGCTCTGAAAATGAGAAATTTGCTTTAACTGCATTGTTTTGAATTGCTGAGAGAAGAATCTATCAACCACAAGGTGCCCTGCTGCTGAACTCAGCCAAAAAGCTGTTAATAACCCCAGCAGATGTTTCAGCTTTTTAGGCCAATAGACTCCCTCTCTCCCTGCCCTCCCCTTTCTAGAATCTGATGCCAATATGACTGAACTCCAGTTTCTGTGGTTGCTGCCTCCGTGGCCGCCTCCACCAGAGTCAGTGATACTAGAGCTGCTGAGGAATTGATTCTTTAAACAGCCAGTCGCAACACAGCCCCAGCCCTTTAAGGTCAGAGCATTATTGCTTTCACCGTTAGAAGTTTAAATCTTCAGGGGGGAAAGGAAGATAAGGGCACCGAATCCGTAGTCCTGTTCTGTCGTCTGCCTTCATTGCCAGTCATTTCATTCCACTTGTTGTGGTTTGTCCCCACGCTCAGAGTCCATTTCTCAGACTGATCAGGGCATTGGGCTTGCCGGGTAGAGGTCATTAATACTCGAGTCCCCACCAGTCGCTGAGGGATGTTGGGTTAGCAGCTTTACAAAGGGGGCCTCTGTGCGATGTGCAGTTTGGGATGGTTGTTTGCCTAATACCGCAAGGCTCAGAATGCCCTGACCTTAGCAGTTCTGCAATATTAGAAGTGTGTATTATAAATACAGCTACATCCCTGTGAGATGGGTACATTATGAGGGCATATGGGGCCACGGCAATCCCAGATGGGGATTTGTCAACTTCTCTGGACAAACCTTACGTCTTAACTTGAAATTAAATCTACATTCCAAGGCTTTCCAAATGAGAAGACATTTTTTAAAAAGGGGAGGGGAAGATGCTCCCCCTGCTCCCACTCGCCTGCCCGCCTCCCCATACTCACTTATTTCGGAAAGAGCGCTTTAAGGCACCCCAGTGACAGCAGGGTGACCAAGAAAACACAGGTGCACCACGTTTATGGAACATCACGTTGGCTAGGAACACATCCGAACTGCGCATCGATACATATCACCATGCAGAGAATTGCCATTTCAAAGGGGGAAAAATTGAAAAGCAGAATTAAGTTCATAAATACTTGGTTTCCTTATTTTGATGCAACACAAAGGCAGAATATCCAGGACCCTGTGGACCCCTATTGTCAGCTTCAGCATTCGCCAACCACAGTAATTCAACCCCAAAATCCCCGCTCTACACCATGCAGGCTATAAAAAGTAAGTACCTTTTCCCTCATGCCACCGCCACCATATTGTTTGCAGACTCTCAACACTGTATTTCTCTGTTATCAGGAAAAGCTCAGGAATGCGGTGCGAGTCTTTTTTCTTCTTTTTAACTGGATAAAGTAATAGATTCCATTGTAACTCTTCAGTACACATGCGGAGCCACTCATTAATGCTAATGGAATCTGCATGTAGGTATTGAAGGGAAAATACAGTTGCCTGCATCTGTGTAGTCTTTATTTTCGTATCAGACCAAGCACAACACTGTACGCTCTAGAGTTCAATGGCACCTCCATCTTCTAATTCTGAAATTTAAGTAACTCGGATTAAAAATGATCCCAGTCATTATGAAATTGGGTGTTCCCACTAGCAAATGGGATGGACGCTTCTGCTTAGATTACTATGATTCCAAGAGGCCAGTACCAGATGATGAGTCTTTAGTAAAATAAACAGCCAATGTTGTAATAATAAAACAGGCTAAAAAAACCACAGAAACTCCCTACTGAATCAGGACAGACTATATCCTCATTATTAAAAAATTCCATATTAAATTACCCATATGCATCTCCAGAGGAGTGAAAACACAAGATGAGGAGAAGAGAATTGAAAATAATCATTGTTTAGTTGAGATTCCAGACCTGCCGGCCGTGAATATTGGTACTAGGCATTAATAAACTATGTGGAGGTGTCTGGGGCCCATGGAAATCCAGACCATGCACTTCATTAGGTCCTGAACTTCACCTGGAATCTTCTGCTGCAGGTGATGATATCCAAGCTGTTTTGTTCTTGATTATTTTCAGTCCAAGTAAAATGGACAATAAAGAGAAGATGCTTCTATAGATTTCCATGATGGATGTTCACGACCAAAATAACTTCACCATCTGATGTATTTCATAGTCTTAAGTTAAAACAGACCCGGTATAATATGCTTGTACATCTGGCTCAGGTGGTTTCTTTGCCATATGTTTGTGAAATAATCCAAGGAGATGTTACAATTGTACCGTTCCCCTTGGGACCTGAACAAAATGTGCCCACAAAGAGTTACCTAATTATTCATTCCTGCCAACAACATCCTCGCCTAATAATAAGGGGGTGCTTAAAAATGAGACAATAGTGCTTTCAATCTTGAGAGATGTCAGTGCCACTTATTGTTTCGAAAACTGAAAGTCTTTTGCATTTTTTTAAATAAGAAAAAGATCCTTGGCCTTTAAAGCAGGACTCTGCAGGTGGTATATTTGGTATTCCTGTGGGGGCAAATGTTGCCATACTGATCAAGGCCAATGCTCCCCTGGAACTCAGCGGACCAGTAGCCATTGTGGGACTTAGTGACCCCAAAGGTGATAGTATCTACAGAGTGGCTGTTCCGGTAATAGAACACATTAACGGAGAACTTTATAATTGGCAAATTGCTTTCATCTATGTCACCACATTGACTTCTCAAAACAACCTTGCAAAGCAGGGGGAAAAGGCCCACCTTATTTAGCCTTGCCAACGGTGCTGATTCTTTATAGCGCTAATTAGCCACAAATGTGAGCATCTTTTTTAAATGAAAAAATTAAAAAATTTTTTAGTCTTGATCCCTAAGCCCCAGTTGCCACAATGCAGCTCTCGCTTTGAATCTGACAATCTGCTTTTTTCCCCTGTTCCCGAACTTGCCTCCTTTTGTCCCATGACTGACTCTCTCAATGCTCTGTTGATTCAAAATACATAATTTGATTTTGTTTCAAGGGTTAGAAAGGACACAAAACACAGTGGGGAAAGTAACTTAATGATTAAAATACAGGCCTACCACGAAAATACAGATTTGAATGAGGCTCCAGGCCAGGTCAAAGGTCAAATGGATAAATCATGCTCTTGGCCTAGCTTTCTCCACCACTAAATCAATTTGAAAGAATGTGGCAAAGATGAAGATACCAGCCAATAAATCTCTAGGCATGCGTTAATTGTGTATTTATGGAGATGCCAAATGCTAGGAGAGTTGTGTTTCCATAAGGATTAGGCTGACAGACCCTAAAGGGCCAGATTAGTATAGGCATTGTTTTTCCCCAGAATCCAAATCTCAGGGTCAAACAGGACACAAAGAATGAGAAAAGGAGGCTAGGAGATTTGCCTCGGGTTACCCAGTTCATAAATGGGTCTGTCCATTTGTGTCCAAGATGCTCATTTAAAACACCTGGGAACTACCAAGGAACTACCTTCTTTCTACTTTGCTAGTTAACCTTAACAGTTTTGGATCACTCAATAGCCAATATTTTCTGGATATATATTCCCCATGAGAGGAAAAGTGAGTTATTACGAAGAAGTAATTGAATACTGGTCTCTTGTTCGGGTAAGAGATTCCCCAGGCAAGATTTTTTTCCCACTCATGGCAATTACAGACTTTCTGAAAATTCCTTCACTCTCTTAATGCTTACTGAGGGCCTACCAGTATATTACATGCTGTGGATACAAAGTTGAGAAAGAAAGGTCCTACTCTCAGGGCATTTAAACAAGCAGAGACTCAGACCTGCAAACAAGTCAATCTGATAAGATTTACAAAATCAGATGATCCACAAAGTTGACTGGGACATTAGGATAACACATTTCAATCCGTCCTGGAAAACTTCTCAGAGGAAAGAGAAGTATGAATAGGTCTTTTCCAGGCAGACAAAAGATTTCCAACTGTATGGTATGAGTCAGAGATGCCAATGATCGATTGTAAATTGAGGCAGAAACGTAATCAAGTTTTTGTATTTGAACTCTGGGGCTACTATGAAAGTGTGGGGGGGGGGGGGCGGGGAAAGGGTTGATGGAAATGGAAGTTCCTGGAGAGAAATGTCAAGGATTATATTGCAGTGGTTAAGGGAGTCAGTGCACCTGCTCAAGTAACATGGTAGCCCCCTTAGACATGACAGATAAGCGAGAGTAGAATACATAGGGATGCGTTGCCTGGAATGTGAGAGAGGGGTCCAAGGATCCCAGAATGGTGGCTTGGGAAACTGAGGGAAGGGTCTAACATTCACTCATATGAAGAATCTAGGAGGGAGAGAGGCTTTTGTGTAGTAAATAGGTATGGGCCCCAAAGCAGAGATGTTCTATTCTGAACATCCTGAGTTTGCAGTGCCTGTGGGATACCCAGGTGGAACTTATTTAGAAAACAGTTGGAGATATGGGCTCAGGATAGAGATTTAGATGTAAAACCTTGGGACCCAAGATTTTCCCCAAAAGTGAATGGGAAAGAAAACCCTGGCGTTTAAGGAGAGGGGAGAGAAATAGAACCCAGTCAAGGCACCAGAGAGGAGTAACCAGTGCAGAGGTAAACGAGGAGAGAGAGACATGGGGGTGGAGGGGGGAGGGGGGGGATATTGTGAAAGGCAAACCAGAATTGCAAGCCTGGGAGAATAGTCAGCAGGCAGGACAAGTCATATAAGATGAGAATTTTAAATGCGTCAGGAAGTGAGCAGGGCAACTTCAGTGCACTGACGTGCTTAGAGCCAGGTTAGAATGGTTCCAGCAGTGAATGTGTAATGTGGAGTCAGAGTGAGGAAATCCAGCTTGCGCTTTGTGAAAGAAGGGCTGTCAAAAAAAGAAACTTAGGGGTGCTAAAAAAAAATTAGCTATTTAAATAGGTTTTGTTTGTTTTTTAAAGGAGAGGGATGAACATATTTGTACACCGAGGGGAACAGCCAATGGAGCATCGGAGGTCAGAAAAGGACCTTGCTGATAAAGCACGTTTTCTAAGGAGGCAAGGTGGAATCATACCCCATAGCACCAGTGGACAGAGTTGCCTTTGACGGGAAAACTGTCTTTGGCTAGCAACGGGGACAGGGAAAGGATGGGTGCAGAGGTGGATGGGCTTGTGGCTGAATGGAAAATGAAGCACGCCATTTTTGATGGCGGCCAGTCCCTGACTTAGAAACGAGGTCATCCCCAAGAGAAGATTGAAAGCTTTGAAGAGTGGTAAAGGTTTGGAATAGCAGCTGAGGGAAATGGGAGAAGCACATGTAATAGGACTGCTGAGTAACACTGAAGGCAAAACTGAGATTAGTTTCACTCCAGATTTATGGTCTCCATTCTCTATGGTTGTGATTTTTCTTTTTCCTCCCGCAGAGCAGTGCTCAAGGAATGTTTACAGCTAAGGAGGCTCCATGGAGGATTGCTTGAAGGACATGAAGTCCATCTGTCTCCCTAGATAGTTTAGATTATATCTCAAGGTCAAGGTAAGCCATCCAAACTAAATACTTGAACCATATTGTTTTAGCTCCTTTTACTTTTGCTCACGTTTAGTGAATTGCATGCTGGCATCGGGCCCCAGCTTGCATTGTGGGACCAACAAGAAACAATCATCGGCCTGTCAGCCTTCATTGTTAGCATCATGGAGGACGTTGAGAAAGCCACTAGCCTTCCAACCAGCATGCCCACTCGTGAGGACACAAAGAGCCATTTCCCTTACGCCCAATGCCAGAAAACAATAGGTTTTTCATTAGCAACAACAATATGTGTATCTGGGGGTATAGCGAGGGATGGTCAAGAGCAGAGTCTTGAAACCACAAAGCTTGGGTTCAAATCCAGCATCCCTCATCTAGCAGCTCGTTGACCTTGACCCTCTTAATTTCTCTGGGCCTCAGTTTCCTTGTTTGTAAAATAACAAAAATAATCCTACCTCCTTCATAAGGCTGCAGTAAAAATTAAAAGACACAATCAGTGTAGACGTGTTTAGCACCGTTGTCTGGCAAATCATAAGTCCACCACACATGTTTGCCATTATTGTTGTTGTTACAATTATTATTTTACAGCCGCTCTTCTTTGGTTTTGTGTTTATGTTTTGCTTTCGTCCTCACAGTGGCATGAATTTGCATGTATTAATTCACCTCTGGTTTCCAGTTAATATTCTTTCTTTCTTTTGTTCTTCACCTATAGCCCACTTATTTGTTATCTGCTATCCACCTGGCATCATTTTGCAATGAGGCAGAACACAAAAAAGTAAACTGAAAGAGGCCTTAAGCCAATCAATAGTTATGAGGATAAGTCTGTCTATTTTTGCTCTTGATTTGAGAAGAGTTTCAAAGATGGTAAAGAGGGCTTGGAACTTTCCTATCCCATGTTTGTGTCTTGAAATGCACGTTTCCTTGAAGTCTGTTTTACCTGATATTTACTTTTCTTACGATCATTCTTGATTGGCCCCTGCAGGGACTTAGACCTAACTCAATATTTGCTCAGACACTTCTCCTTGTGAATAAACAGCATGCTAATTTAATTGGGGAGAGGGTTGGATTATTGTAGTTTGAGAAAAAGCTATAGTTTCATGGTGGGATCAGGGCCAGACTCGCTAGTCGGAGGGCCTGCCTTTGGCTGTGGCTCTGGCATTCGCAGCTCTCTGTCGTCGAACCTCCCTTGCTTCAGTTCTGTGGCGGAGTAGGGTTAACAATAGTGATCTCACAGTGTGGTTGCAAGAAATAAAGAAGGCGCTCAGCAGAAATGAGTTGAATTCTGCATGTAGCGCAAGAGACAGCGTTCCAGTTGCCATTCAAACTTGCACTTGAAAAATTGGACCAAGTAATTCAAACTTCCTTTAAACATATTTATTTAGTTAGTTATTTTTATTTAATGTTTGTTTATTTTTGAGGGAGAGAGAGTGCGAGCAGGGAAGGGGCAGAGAGAGAGAGGGAGACACCAGAATCTAAAGCAGGCTCCAGGCTTTGAGCTGTCAGCGCAAAGCCCTATGTGGGGCTCGAACTCATGGACTATGAGATCATGACCTGAACCGAAGTTGGACGCTGAAACTACTGAGCTACCCAGGCACCCCTTCTTTTCAACATATTTAAAGGCAACCCAAACATACTTATCTTACTCAACTTAATTATTTGAACTTTGAAATTTACATACTAGCCATTTAAGAATATTTAGTCAAGAGGTGCCTGCGTGGCTCAGTCAGTTAAGCATCCGATTCTTGGTTTCAACTCAGGTCATGATCTCACGGTTTTGTCAGTTTGAGTCCCCTGTCAGGCTCCACATGGAGCTTGTTTGGGTCTCTCTCTCCCCCCCCCCTCTCTCTGGGCCCCTCCCTGATTCGTGCTGTCCGTCTCTCTCAAAATAAATACATAAACTTTAAAAAAGGAAAAAAAAAAAAAAAAGAGTATTTAGGGGAGCCTGGGTGGCTCAGTCCATTAAACGTCCGACTTCGGCTCAGGTCACCATCTCGCGGTTTGTGGGTTCGAGCCCTGCGTCCACCTCTGTGGTGACAGCTCGGAGCCTGGAGCCTGTTTGTGATTCTGAGTCTCCCTCTCTCTCTGCCCCTCCCCCACTCATGATCTGTCTCTCAAAAATAAACAAACATTAAAAAAAAATTTTTTTTAAAGAGTATTTAGTCAAAAGTCAAAACAAAAAGCTTTAATTCCCTTTTAAGAATAGTCAAGGACTTTCATCTTTGTGTCAGAATATCACTGTGACCTGTAATGTCATCAGAGAAACATGAAAACTCTCCCAGATTGTATTCTTTGCCTCCTCCTAAATAAATAATCTGAAAAACCCCTTGATACACAAATCACATCTGCTTTATCTCCTGGCAGGTAACAGCTCTTGGTTTTTGTCTTGTTTCTCTCGCTGTTACTGTTGGTGTTTTCTTGCTGTATGGACCAATAAGTCCATGCGGATGAAAGGCAGCTTTGGTTTTGTTTCAAATCAAAGCGTGTGGGTGTGGGATGGTTTATCCCACATGTTGATATCAGAAGGAGAGCGGAAAGGGTTGGGAGCGATGCCTGAAGGAAATCAGAGGTCTTCCTTCTCCGTCCGCACCCTCCCACCCCCTGGCTGAACTTGGAGACCCGGAGGGCAGGGCGTGTTGCTGATGGGCCACTCCCACCCACCGCCGAACACCCCGAGAAATCAGTGTCGGGCAGCACAAAAAGAGCCCGACTACAATGGTTGGTCTTCAAAGGGGCTCATTTATTATATCGCTCAGTGCCCCACAGAGTTGCTCGAAGCTCGTAACTGCCACTGATTTCAAAGAGAGCTCTGAACTTGCATACGCTTCACAAGGCACGGCGCGGGATGAGAAATAGTCTGAGTGGCTTGAAGCCATGTTCAGACATTTTTTAATGTTCGTAAATGTCTTTGGCACCATCAGTTTCACATAGAAACCCACTTACCTCCTGCCGCAAAGTGTGAAATAAAGCCATTTTCAAGCCTGGGTAGGGGATGGTCTGGAAATTGGGCTAAATCTTAAAACTGCATGAAGACTGAAAATAGGATTCACAAGCTGGGGCTCAGCTCTCACTAAATCACTTCTAAAGTCAGGTCACCGCGACCCCCTGCTCTGCCAGATAATGTCAGCGCCGTCTTTAAAGGGTTAAGACGGTAAAATGTGGTCACCTTAGTGGCTCCCAAACTGAGGGCCCCCAGCTCCAAGGCATCCCCAAATAAGTGGTCCATTGGAAGGAAACACTATTTCAACTGGGGTTTGATGGGGACTCTAACTGGCACAGCCCTGGGGAGCCTCGGGTTAGAGATTAACATTTCCTACCACCCCCCTGTCTCAAGAGATGCTGTGGGTCCCCGCTTGATCTAGGAGGTTTGTGGGAGTCAGTAAGATCCATCAAAGGCATTCTTCTTTACCACTTGCAGAAAGATCAGACATACGCCCCGATTCTGTTTCTGTGGCTCTCCAGTCCCCACCACAAGGAGAGAGAGAGAGAGTTTCCTTGGGGACTCAGAAGTGACTTCTATACTCCGGGAGGCTCTTGGGTAAGTAACTGCAGAGCCCTCTGAATGGCTTTATGAGTGCCTTGCTTTTAGAAGATTGCAGGAAAAAAGTGTCCAATCCATAGTCACTGTTCAATAAACATTTACTAAATCTTGGGCAATGTGTTGTATTAGCCACCGTCCTTAGTAAGAAACAACAAGTTATTTATTGGGAGAAAAGGAATTAAATAACGAGACATTCGTTGTGGTTTTCAGAAATCCAGAAACTCCCTCCACAAATCTGAAGCCATACAGCCTCTTCAAGAAAGTATTTTGCTAAGCATTTATCTACTACAAATCCTCACTATTTCTTTATTCCCTTAACCAACGCTTGCTGAGCTCCCGATACAAGCCCGTGTTAATTCCACTTGCTGGGGTTCAGCAGCCAACAAAGCAGCCCAAAGTTTCACCCCCAGTGAGCTTGTGTCTTAGTGGTGAAGACACATGATAACAAAGTAAGTACGAAAGCTCTCGAGAATCTGAGATGGTGGGAGAGAAGCAGGAGAGAGCAGGTGGAGAGGGGGTACAGTTTGAGAGGAGATGGAATTGTGAGGTCCTTTGAGTAAAGAACTTTTGGGGAGCCTTCCTTTTAAGTGCTTGCCTTTTTTATCTTTCTGTTCGTTCAAATGTTGGTAGAAAGGAACTCAGAATTACCTGTGACATCTTTTTAAAACTTAAGAAGTGGGGTGCCTGGGTGGCTCAGTCAGTTAAGCGTCTGGCTTTGGCTCAGGTCATGATCTCTCAGAGTTCGTGAGTTCGAGCCCCGCAGCGGGCTCTGTGCTGACAGCTGGGAGCCCAGAACCTGCTTCGGATTCTGTGTCTCCTTCTCTCTCTGCCCCTCCTCTGCTCATGCTCTGAAAAATCTCTCTCTCTCTCAAAAATAGATAAACGTTAAAAAAAAACTTCTTTACGAAAAGAAGTGAAGACATCATGCCCAAAGGATGAGAAGGCAAATCAGCCCTGCTCCCAGGTCCTGGCCACGGTTTGGCTGTGCTGTGATGCAACCACGAAGCACGTCCCACGGAAACAGGCCTACCACCTGGTCTCGTGCTCTGCGCACAGTGAGGGCTCAGTAAATGCTGCTCACCTACACATAAGATCCATAGTCTTAGATCAGCTCTAAAAGTAATGTTTGTTTGTTTTTTGACAAAAAGACTGTCTCCATGTTTGTGTGGGTAGATACAGCCATAGAGACAGATGAGGCATCACAAGTGGTTCCTGGGAAGTTATCAAACCATATTTATTCACGGTGGCATCCCTAAATTTCCCCATCGTCAATATAAATACCTCTGACAAATCTATCTTCACTTACCGCTGCCCTTAAATATTTGAGGCAAAATGCTGGCAGGCTGTTTCCCTCCTGTCTGGCCCATCTCCTTATCTCTGAGATGCGACAGCCACCGCTACCCCTAAAACACGACATATTTCTATCCTTTCTCCCTTCCTTCCCCCTTCCTTTGATCCCTCCTTTTCTTTCTTCGGTGTCTGCGCTGTGCCAGGCATGTTGAACTCCAACAGGCTCCATCCCAACCACGCTAAAAACAATGAACTCTTAATATAGGTACTGTTAGAAACAGCAAAAAGAACCGTGTAGAACGGAAAGACATGAGAGCCGGTAATATTTTTTATTGGAGAACATTTCTCAGGAGAATATATGAGTGCTGCCGCCACTCATATCACTCACTTGTTCCCTCTCTTACGCCCAGCAGTTGACAAGTCCTCTTACACGTGTATCTCATACGTTCCTCTAAATTGTTGTTTCTCAAAGTGTGGTGCCTGACCAACAGCAGCAGCAGCTCCTGGAGATTTCTGGAAATGCAGAAGCCCAGGCTCCACCCCAAAACCTCCTGAAACAGACTACATTTTAATAAGATCCTCTAGAGCGTGATAGTTTGAGGACCTGTACTCTCAATAGTCCTGTGAGGGAATTGGAAATTCTCTTGCCTATTTGACAGAGAAGGAAGAAGCGAAACTGGTGTGTGTTGGGGGGAGGGGCGGTGGCACTTCGGTGGCTCAGTTTGTTGAGCATCCGACTCTTGATTTCGGTTCGGGTTATGATCCCACAGTTTGCGAGTTTGAGCCCGCATTGGGCTCTGCACTGTCAGTGCAGAGCCTCCTTGGGATTCTCTCTCTTTCCCTCTTTGTCTCTCTGCCCTTCCCTCGGCATGTGCACTCTTTCTCTGTCTCTCTCAAAAATAAACGAAGAAGAAAGAAAGAAAGAAAGAAAGAAAGAAAGAAAGAAAGAAAGAGGAAAGGGAAAAGAAAAGAAAAGAAAAGAAAAGAAAAGAAAAGAAAAGAAAAGAAAGAGAGAAAGAAACAAAACTGGGGTCCAAAGATATTCATTTAACTAATAGATAACAAGACGGGAGTCAAAGACCAATCTTCTTTCCACAAAACTATGTCCCCTCTTTGGACACTCTTAGAGGAAACTGTCGCATGCCTCTTTTTGGATCTGACATCGCCCAGCCCAGTATTTCATAAGGAGCATCTGTACAGTAATTATAGCCTGATATTGTCCCCTGGTGGTAAGTCGGCAAATGTTAATCTCCTACGTGATTATATATTCCTTGGTAGGCTGGTCTTGCTGTCTCTTGTCTGAAAGGTCTAAGGTTAATTACATGAAAGAAATTTCAGATTTGGAAATTTCTCCGATTTTTTTCCAATTCCTTATCGGAGAAGAACATGTTCACTGGTTCACATAATTTTTGAAGTTTCTATTGCAGTTTTGTTCTCCTAAAGCAGGTTCTTAAGTGTTTCGTCGACAAGGGAACAGCCACTAACTCAGAGGAAGCACTTCTTTGTGCACCAGACTCGTACTCTCTATGTGTTGTCTCCTGATTCTCGGAGAGACCTAAGAGATTGGCTCCGTTACCCTGTTTTACTTTGTGGAGGCTGAGAGTCAAAGGAGACACATGTGGCAGTGCCGGAAACCAAGTCAGATTCCATCCTACTTTGCTGGCCTCTTCGTAGAAGTCTTGCCTGAATTGGAAGGTGACCCAAGGCAGGGGAAGGGATTATCATTCCCGTCTGTCTTTTGTCACCACTGACGATATGACATTTACCACCCACCCACTGTATTTTTTAAAGGAGAAAAGTGGCCACCGAACTCTTCCTGGTTTTAAGGGTGAAGTAACAGGACTGAAATCAAAACAAAGAGGAACCAACTCAACTAGAGGGATACAAGTTACATAGGCAGAACCTCCCCGTAATGGACCAGAAACTCAACCCAGCAGTCTCGCCGGGCAACATACTTGGGAAAGCCCGTTTCTTCACCACACAAATTGGCTAAAATCCAGACGTAGGATCGAAGCAAGGCTCTCTAAACTGGTTAGCCTTAAATTCTTCGTGCTCAACAGAGAAGCAGAGAATTTCTGACTCTAAGAAAAGAGAATGAATAGATTTCTCACTGAGAAAGACATCATCTCCCAGGCTCTCTTGTATCTGTGTTCTCAAAACTCCAGCCCTGTCAGCTCAGTCCCAGCTGAGACACTGGACCGAAATATCCTCTTGTGTTACTCTCCGGGAGTCTGCAGATAGTTCGTGTACAAGCCGCTCCACTCGTCTTAAGGATTTAAATAGAGTTATAACTACTCAGATTTTAATATATGCTACAACTGTTTTGCTGGCTTGGCATTTAAGGATGCAAACTTTCCAATCTCTTCTAGAAGCATGACACCATAAAAGGGACTACCGTAATTAGGAATAAAACTGTGTAGTCCTCATTAACCAGAAAAGCACTTTCTAAACCCAGGGAGGCTCTACTTCTATTCCAAGAAAAGTCAAGAAAACGGTGTCTCTAGAACCCAATAAAGATTTTGGGTCAACTTGTCCTCTCTGGCATTGACTGGGATTGATGTGAAATGCCTTTAAAAGGCAAAAGAACAACAAATATTTCTAGCAGAAGAGACCTAAGTGGAGAAAAGGCTGAAGGATCATGTTAAGCTCAATCTTGTTTCAAGTTGTGCTATTATTTGAGTCTTGATTGCCCAAATTCATTCAGCCTTAGTGCATTGTGATAGAGCCTGCCCTTATTAGCCAAGGACGTTATGGTAACTGGTTGTGGGTCTACTGTTCTCATGGTTACAACATGTGACCAGAAGAATGCTTTCTGAATTGAGGCCGGGAGTGATAAGCCCCTGGTGACTCAAAATAGCTAAGGAGTGTATATAAAACCAGGCACAAGCTAGTCTCAAAGATAATTGCAGGCTTTACTTTAGTTCTTTAATCTCCACGTCCATTTCTGTCCTGTCAGAACTATCTACACAGGGGCCTCACCACGGCATTAGTCACAGTAAGAACCAAATGTTTTATAAGCTGGTACCTTCTTATACCTGTCCAAGGGGATTTGGTCACTCAAATCACAAATGAACCATGTTAGAAGGGGTTTGGCTGTGAGGCAGTCCCACACGTAGGAGGAAGACAAGAACATTCTGGAGGAATTTGATTTATTTATGTTTTCTGCATAGAACTTGGGATGTGTCTGCTTCCTGGAAAAGCTACATTGATAGATTGCAGGGATCAGAATATCTACCTCTAATTCTCTCTTTTTGCCAAAATTCTTATCACCCGTGTTTTAAAACCTAATTAAGCTATGGTTCATTTATAACAAAAGGACACCAGACAGGATCCGGGCTCTAATCTCTGCTTTGTCACCAACCAGCTCTGGGGCTGTAGGCAAATGAGCTTTCCACCGGAACTCTGTTGTTTTGTCTTGTAATCATAACACCTGAATTTGTTAAACACTTTCTCTGAAGTAGGGGTTAAGCCAAGCACTTTGACCAGAGTATCTCATTTAAACCTCACATACCTCCCCTAGGTGGGGTCTGTTACTACCTCCATTTTGCAGACGAGGAAACTGAGGCACAGAAAGGCTGAACAGCTTGTCCAAAGTCACACAACTGGGATGCAAAAGAGCCAGGATTTTAACAGGTTTCCTGAGCCTGCCCTCTAAACCCCTGGGCTACATGTTTCTCTGATTCCCCCGCTCGCCCAGCATAGGAGGACTTCTTGCTCCAGAAATCCCTAACTACTTAGAGATGATTTGGTTTAACTCGTGTGGCTCATCTAAGCTGTTGTGTGCTATTTCATTTCTTAATTTTCTAAATCTTTTTTTGTTT